GGGGGGGGGGCCTGTACCTGCAGGACAGGTGCCAGGGGCACCTGCGGCCCGGGCGTGCATGCTCCCGTGTGCTCTTGTGTCATTCTCTTCTGGAAGCGTCATCTCCGTCACCATGCAATGGGCCCACCAGAATGAGGACTCTTTCTTGTGCGTCTCCTCTATTCTTCTTCTCCCTCCTCCCCTTCCCTTCCTTCTTTCCTCTCTTCTTTCCTTTCTTCTTTTCCTTCTTCTTTTCCTCCTTCTTTCGTCTTGTCCTCTTCTCCCCTCCTCCTCGCCCTTCTTTCTCCCTTCTTTCTCCCTCCTCCTCGCCCTTCTTTCTCCCTTCTTTCTCCCTTCTTCCTCCCTCCTCCCCTCCTCCTCTCCCTTCTTCCTCCCTCCTCCCCTCCTCCTCTCTTCCTCCCCTCCTCCTCTCTTCCTCCCCTCCTCCTCCCTCGCAATCCTTTCACTCGACTCCTTTGCTTTGTTTTCGACTGGTCGCCTGTTTTGTTCTCAACCCCTTTCCATTAGGCGGTCTCCTACACCCGCCCTTCTTCCTCTCCTTGCGTCGTCCCGCCCCTCCGCCCCAACTTACCCCCCTGCCCCTCGTGCCCTCCTCTCCACGCAGGATTGGTTTGGTTTACCCCGGCTCTGCAAAGTCCCCCCTCAATTTTTCCCGTCCACAATGTCCTCGCACGAAGAGATGCACCTGCCCGACTACGAGGAGGAGGAGACCCCCATCATCGCCACCACCACCACCACCCTGGCGGCCGACGCGGCCGCCGGCACCGAGGCTCTGGCCACCGGCACCGAGGGCGACAAGAAGGGCACCCACGTGTCCATCCACTCGGAGTCCTTCAAGGACTTCCTGCTGGACAACCGCCTCTTCCGCGCCATCCAGGAGGCCGGTTTCGAGCACCCGTCCGAGGGTGCGTGTCCCCATGCCCTGCTCACTTTCATCCCTCGCCCTCCGGCTCCCCCCCCCCTCTCTCTCTCTCTCTCTCTCCTGCTCGCTCCCGCTGATGGCGTCGCCCTCATTCAGCTCACC